ATCCTCGTCTTTCAAAAAAAAAAGGGGGGGGCGATTTGCCACACTTGAAAAAGTGGGGGGGGGCATGTCCCACCGTAAAAATTATTCCTAAGGGTGGTTTCAACCGTTTGATTTGATTACTTCCTGTCAGCAGCAGTTTTCGAGCAGCTGTACGTCCACTGGGACTACTTCATGCTAATGTGTTTTTTACTGTTCCCGAGTTAACATTCATAGCTATATTTACAACAGCTCCCCCCCCCCAGTGGCACAGCGGTATGTCTGCGGACTTACAACGCTAGAAACCGGGTTTCGATACACGTGGTGGGCAGAGCTTGTGTAGCTTTGTGATTAACTTCAAACAAAAAAACAAACAAAATATTTACAACAAGGTTGTTACAGAGATTTGTCCTTGATTGTTCTCTATCTAGTAAAGAACACGCCCAAAGATACTTAACATCACTTTTAGTTTGTTTGTGTGTTTTGGAGCAAAGCCACATTGGGCTATCTGCTGTGTCTATCGCGGGGAATCGAATCTCAAATTTTAGCGTTGTGAGTCTGTAAACTTACTGCTGTCTCACCAGGGGACATATCACTTTTAGAGTTTCGGTTTCTTACTCCAATCATTTCTATTAATAAAAGTGTCGGTTTCATGTAAGTTATTCAGAGTCTTACATATAGCTCTTACTGAAACATGGAATATCCTTGATCAGTTAAAATTTTGATTTTTTACATGCTTATCATAAATTATTTCATCTCTGGGAGTCATGAATGTTTAGACAACACAACTGGCAACCAGAATTGTATTCTGTAAAATATATTTCAAACATCACGAGAAAACAAACACACACACACACAAAAAACAAAAAAAACACGAAATAGCCGATGGCTTAACGGTAAGTCTGAGGTTTTATAAGGCTGAAAAGTTTCGATACCTGCGATGGGCAGAGTACAAATAGCCCATTGAATAGTTTTGTTCTTAACAACAAACAGTTATAGTTTTAAAAATATATCATCTTATCATTTTTGATTTTTTATGAACGAAATAGATTTTATACTTTTGAAATTAATTTTCGGGTAAAAAATTACATATTTTCTTATGCACAAAATAATTCTTATGTTTACATTAAAATAAAGTATATTGAATGCAATGTACGTTTTCAATACATTTAAGCAATTTTTTAGCCAAGCACGTTTTTAAAGTACTGTATTTCCATTAAGTTTTAAGATATACATTAAAAAATTGTCAATAAAGTAAAACATTAAGTTGTGCCATTTTGGGTTATTTTAGGAGTGGTTGAGTTCCTGACCACGGGGAAAGTTTCTGCCGACCACAGCGATTTCAAGGGATTTGGCTACAAAGACTGTCTCCAGAAGTTGAGTACTTCTAGGCTTTTGAGTGAATACTCTCATCCCTTCCGAATTTCTCCAGCCTACAAATATGGCGATATGCACTTCACCAATTTCACGTAATTTTCTTTACTCAATTTTAATGTGTTGTTGTTTTCATTTAAGTTTCTGTTTGATTTTTTTTCAGGTTTGAATGGATTCAAAACATCTTGGCAACCTTGATTTCCTATAAGGTAGTTTTATTACATGAATATGTATCACACAAAGTAATATATACGAACACTCACCTGATGGAGAGCTTGGAACTAAATGCTCAGTTTTTATGAACAGTGTCTTCGGTAATAAGATTGGAAAATATTAGAGCAAGCAATTTCATTTGAATATATATGTATATGATTTTTGTTTCCAATTCATACAGCAATCTCTCAGGCCACATTTGAGTGAGCATTCATAGCAATGACTGCGACAAGCAATATACATAAACATAAACATTGTTTTCATCACAATTTGAACACTTTTATATGTGCTTGCACAATTCTACCGTGTATAAATGTTATCACAACGCTAATGCTTTCATTACGAAAGCTCCAGGTTATAAATTTAAAGTTTTTTTTTGTTGTTGTTGTTGTCATTGAAAATTCTCTTTTTTATCAGTTCACATATGACTGAAAGTCAGATTTGTAACAGAGACGCCAGAAGATTTTTTAGGGCCTATGGCAAGTCTTTTCAACTTGGACTATGCCTAGAGATAATTACATAAAATTTAATTTAAGTAATTATGATATGAAATTGTAATAAATAGTACGTTCTCTAGAAGAATAAGAAGTCATACATATATTTACAAAATATACTTCACTTGTGTTGTAAACAACAGGAAATTAGAAACATGAACACTTAAATACACTATAATGACTTATTTATCTTGAACACCATAGATCTATTGTTCTCGTTTTCTCAGCTGCATACATCTGGATTACTTCGGTGTAGATTATGGCTCTAGTTATATCGCTTTATATTGAAAGTAAGCCCAGGTCACTCAAGCGATTTTGATTAGTTGTGGCTCTTAAATAAGTTTTGATTAATTTACTAAAGTTACGTTTGTTTTCGGCGGCATGCACTGGAAAACAGCAAAAAATTCTTAAGACTATTTCAATATTAAGGTACGAGGACAATATTACATCTTTCTGTACATGATCAAGCAACTGGCGTTTCTTATAAAGTTCTGTTTTTTATGTAAATATTTCGCATAAGCTTGACAAATAGGAGTAATTCTACTTGAAATTTTGTGCTGTCCAGGTCTTTGCAATATTTATTGGCCAAATGCGAAGTTTCACAAGTAAGCTCATTGCCAGGCAAGAATCTCAGCTTTGTTCCCATGAAGAACCTGAAAACGTCTGCAAAATCGGCATGCCTAGGTTAGCGGGACTCAAACTCTGAAATAAGTCAGTCCGAAATTATGAGAAAACTTCACATTTGAACTTTTTCTTGGGATTTTGAAGGGGCGAGATGGTTCCAAGGACAACCTTAATAAAACGATTGGGTGTAAAAATATCAGACGATATGTGGAATCAAAGACATGGAAAAGGGTCATGTGACACTGAATTAATGCTGGGTGTAACTTTATTAGAGTATGCATACTTGGGGGATCTTAAAATTGCCTTCTGAATTATTTTTGCCGAAATCTAAATTAAAAATATAAAATATAATTTCGGGACTATGGCAACTTTCCACAGCTGCCACGCCCTTCGCAAAGCCCTGGTTTGTAAGGAATTTCGACAGGTTGCTCATGAATTTAGGAAATAAATTTAGCTGTTTTAGTGTCAACTGTAAGCAGGTAAGATTGTTTATACTATATTTTTTATATTTTCTACTTGTTATTAATAGTACTGGAAACATTTTATTTTTTATTTATGAATCTAAAATTCGCTTTTTTCCGTAAAAGGACGTGGACAACTGGTTAGCATGCCGACGATTAAGAGTTCACGTCATCTTCATACAAAATCGCGTTCTGCTGTGTGTGTGTGTGTTACTTTAGTGATTGTCAAATTTCGCTATTCGATCAGTCAAGAGTTGGCAATCGGTGTTGTTGAATAGCTGTCATTCCACTCGTTTTTCAACTCAAAATTAGTGAAAGCTATGTTCAGACGGTATACATACAAATTCTGAAACCAGCCATACGAGTTTACTGAAACAAATTTCAAAACATGATGTTAAAAACTTGATTTGTCAATGTAATGTTTATATAATTATGTATTAGTATTACTGCTAGTCACTTGTAATTATTATATAAATAGTTGGTAAAATGCTGTTTTTGTGAAAACGATATTAAGCAATTCAAAAATAAAAACTATAATGAAATACAAAAACTAAATGTCTTAAATTAATCTGATATTCACTGTTTGTTGTTTTAAAATGTTTGTATTTTTGTTATTCATAAAAAAATCTCCATAAGAAGTTAGTGAGGCATTTGCCTCAACGCAGCCACTAGCTAAGGCAACGAAACAAACTTTTACTGCAGATGTTAGATAGATCAAATGTAAATAATGAAAAACTCGTGTTTCTAAAGTATGGTAGCGTGCACTATCCCTATGGTATACTATAAAATGTTATATGGATAAACAGTGTAACTACAGATGAATCTGTGCTTTGTATACATTTACTAGTTCACAAATTTCAAGGATTTATGCAAATTCATACTTATCAAAGCACAGTAAATAATTAACCGATTTGAATTAAAAGTATGATGATCTAATTAAAATTTTCTTTAAATTCCATCCAAAACTTTATTAGATTGATAGTGTGATTTGGACGTTATCCGCTGTTGTCTTTATATAAATTTATATAGGCTGTAGCTTTTATTGAATATTCATAAAATTGACGATTATTTATTGGACAAAATACCTGTTTTTGCATCAGTGAGGATGATATTGCATACGTCTGTTTATGTGTATAATATGGAAGTCTTAAGATAAACAAGTGAACCAAGTACATCTGTATAACAGTATAGCTCTCAACTTACATGGCAGTATATGAATATACACATACACAAGGCATGTTTTATCTTAGTCGGAAGGAAAAACAATTAATGGAAAATTTCTATGCATAGATATTTTAATTACATTACACACAACATAATTATTTATACGAAGAGCAATTCTAAAATACTTTTTTTTGTTACTTATTAACATATTTCATGTTATTGGTTGAAAGGCCACGCCCTCTAAGTTCTTTGTTTGATTTTTGCTTAGACGAAGTTAGAAGAAAAAAAAGATATGTATAATTTTATGAATAAGTTGAGTGGAGAATAATGAGAGGGATTTCAAACTTGTTATGTAGATAAACCTTTAAAGCATACAGTTAATACTAGTTAAGAGTTTTGTGTATTTGTAGTTTGTCAAGATTGTACAGATGCAGTGTTTATTAGGGACGTAATCACGTGCATTGCTTTTAAATCTGTCATTCCAAAGACAGTGTTGACTTTTGGTAATTAATCTCGCTTTTACAGCGAGCCAATCTTAACCATTTTTTCATCAAATTATGGTAGCCATATATTAAATAATAGTTCTGTCATCTCATTTAACTCAGACATCTCTGAATTATATTTCAACGATTTACAAAATCAGCCAATCACTATATTGCATGGTTGATCATGTTTATTATGAACATCATCTGCCAGTTGTCGTGTAGGGCTTGTCATAAGAAATTAGATCTTTTCGTTGTTCTTATAAGGGAAAAAGTTCGGATTTGAATACAATTACTCTTTGTAAAGAAGAACATTGCTTGTTTAATAACTTATTTCATAACATGGTCATAAATTACCTTCATTAAGTCGTTCTAGAGGTTTTTCTTGTAGCGACGTGACTTCAAGTTCAACATTAAAAAAGCGATTTTAATTCGTTTGCAATCGTAAAAATCATAGTTTATTATTTATAACTCTTCCTTGGCCAATAAGCAGTAGTAATGCCAAATAAGAATTCGTTTAGTTCGTACGATTCAATTAAACACTAATAAAACTGTTTAATGCTACCTCCAACAAAATGATTATCGCAGGCTTCAGTCTCAAATTGAAAATATTTTGAGGAAAAAACAAATAAATCATGTCCAGAAAATGGAGTTTCTACTGTTTTTGGTTTATTTACTGATATTGTTTAGTTTATAAGTCAAATAAACTATTATTATTAAGGTTTAAGTAGTTTCACGAAAAGTTTTCTAAAATTTTAGTATATTTTAACAGTAAAATACACCTAGATTTTATAGTTTGTTTGTTATGAATTTCGCGCAAAGCTATACGAGTGCTATCTGCGCTAGCCGTCCCTAATTTAGCAGTGTAAGACTAGAGGGAAGGCAGATGGTCATCATCACCCACCGCCAACTTTTGGGCTACTCTTTTTACCAATGAAAAGTGGGATTGACCGTCACATTATAACGCCCCCACGGCTGAAAATTGTGACGGAGAATCGAATGTGGTGGTCAATTTCACTTTTTGTTGGCGAAGAGTAGCCCAAGAATTGGCGGTGGGTGGTGTTGATAAGCTGCCTTCTCTCTAGTCTATCACTTTTAAATTATGGACGACTAAAACAAATAGCCCTTTAATAGCTTTGTGCGAAATCGAAGAAAAGAAACACACAACTGTAGCATAGCAAACAAAGTCCAACTACATGTTTTGGCATGTGGAACGCTAGTATACAACTAGTACTATAAAATAATAAGATGTAATTCGAATGAGGAAACACTTAGGATCAAATAGTCTTTATGTATTAAATTATTTCAACCAAATCTAAACATGAATCAGCATGTTTCACCGTTAAGGCTGAAAATGTGATTCGTTATGGTCAAAGAACGGGCTTGTGTGTGTGTGTGTGTGTTTTCTTATAGCAAAGCCGCATTTGGCTATATTCTGTGTCCACTGAGGGGAAACAAAGAACGGGTTTGCTTAAAAGCCTTAATTGATTTTCCAAACATGGATTGGCGACAACACGTCCGATTTTGTTAAAATGTTTAAAATTGTACAAACGTGTGTTCATACCTATGTATATATTACCGTGTAAGAAGGTTACTTTTTTCTCTATTATATAAATTTCGAACTTTTTTGTAATACAAGAGATGGCATATATTCTTTGTTTTCTACTGGGTGTAATGGAAAAATATAGGTCTCTGAATGTGTAATGGAAAATATAGGTCTCTGAATGTGTAATGGAAAAATATAGGTCTCTGAATGCGCACAGAGCAAGTTGATTTTTCCTTTGTTTCTCGAAAGTTTGCAATGAGAGAAATTGTGGAGTTTTAGAGCGTTATTTAAATTATTTTTACACATTTATATTATTATCAGAGTTGTAGCCAGTCATTTTTGCGCCCTGAACAAGTTTCACGAACTGCGCCCCCCTTTCTTCGTGGCCCGTGCTTGTCGGTCGGTCTGCGGGGGTTCCATATAATGTATTGAACTTTAGGTTTGCCTAACCTTTTCACGACATTCGTGGCCACTATTCCATCAAAATCATGTGTTTTCATAAAAGAGGATAGTTAATAAATACATTTTAAAGATAATTACTAGAACATATATGAACTACTGAATAAATCAATGTTCCACATTTAACTGCAATAAGTCACGGTTTTTACTTAATTTATAGCAATGACAGTAAAAACCCGATTACCCCGTCGATCATGCTTCCTGTAATGTTTGGTAGCCAGCATAATTTTAGGATGTCCAGGAACATTCGATATGCTATTTCTCTAACCTTATTTTTCCTTTTCATAAAAAACATATAGATATGGCGAAAGAAGCATGTAGCTAAATGAGGTGGTAAATACCACAACACTAAAAAATATAAAAATAATTATGATATATGTTATAACTTAAAAACGAGACGACGTAGTTGAAGAATAAGGAATGAAGGCGGGACCATACCATACTAAACAGAGCAAGTTATCTTGCTTAATTTGGATGATAAGTTCAAATGGTAAGTTTTTCTATTTGCCCTACACTCTGTATAGTTCTGCATATAGTATTTAATAATAGGTTTAGTGCTCGGACTGCACCCCCCTTCCCACACTACCCTACCTACAGCTCTATCTGTATATATATATATATATATAAATCTTATATACTACGTGACTTCTACCCCGCTCTTTTCCGAATTGATCGTAGTTAGTGTTTAATGCAAAAAAGGTTTTTTTTTGAAGAACTGAAATTACCTATGTGGTCTTTATCCATTTTGAGTACAATCAAGTTTTACTGTCTTATCCACGTGGAGTATTATTTTCTTGCCTGTGTTTATACATAGTATTGTCATTATATTTTGCTTGCACTCATTTGCTCATTATGTCCTCCAGTGGTACAGCGGTATGTCTGCGGACTTAGAACGCTAGAAACTGGGTTTCATTACCCATTTAGTAGCCTTATGCTTTAGCTACAAACAAATATTTTTCATTGCACAATATTCTGCGCTATGCTATGTAATGTAAAAGATCATTTGAAAATATCATCAAATGTTTTAGAAGCGCAATCTGTAGTGGAAAATGGTTAAGATATTAAGAACTGTTTTCATCTACAATTCTGTATTTTTTTAAATAAGATGTTTATAATTTATTAATACCAACATAAGTATAACATATGATTTAAATAGTTTCGATTAATGAGCAAAACCAGATATTAATGTTTGTTGTCTATTGTCTGTGTTCTTGCAGGAATGATTTTAAAGGTGTTATCGACTATATATTTTATCCTGACCAATACATGCGCATCGTTGGATTGCTTGGACCACTTGATGACCAGTTGTTGAGGGAGAACAACGTAGTTGGTTTTCCACATCCTCTCATACCATCTGACCATTTGCCTTTGCTTGTTGAACTTGAAATGGCGTGCAGTCCTAAGAAATTTAATTGAAACCATTCTTTTAAAATGTGAAAACTCATGAGAACATCTACTAACAAAGCTGAAAATAATGTAGGTAGAAAGTCTAACAGGGTGTCCTGAAATTATGTTACCAAAATTGTTTACTTGTGTTGCTGAGGCAGTAACTTTAAACCTGTGCAACAGTGTCGACTAGAAATCCATTTGACCAACTAAGGTACATTGTAGCATGCACGGAATAGTCTTGACAGTGCGAGACAGGCCCTACCGGAGTTTCATTACATTCAGAAATAAACGTTAATAAAATTATTAACGTAATTTCAGGTACCCTGTAGAAACAGCGTTAACCATGTTAAAGCTAGATAGTTATAGTTTAAATTGGATTACCTAAAATAATATTCAAACATTCACAACCGTTAAAACGCACACAATAATTAATGCATTGGAAGTAAATTCATATTAAGACATCAGTTTGTAGCAAGCATAATAAAAAAAATTCGTATTTTAGCAAATATTGAGCTCATATTATTGTATTGTTATTAGTTTTGTTATCGTTGGATCATTAGCGCTACGATTAACAAACTTCCAAATAAATCTGATATACAAACAACACCAACATAACAGTGTTACGTATATTGGAGGTATAGGTCGTACTTTTGTGATTAATACCAGTTCAGTGATCCATTCGGCACTTTGAACATTTAAAAAGAACGGATGTCAAAATTATCTTTTGATTTCAGAAATAACTTTTTTTCGTTCTTTGTTTTTTTTCAGTTTACAGCATGATGATGTGTTTTCACAAAGCACGCAAAACCAGTATTATTCGATGACGTTATGAACACGTATCTAGAATCAAGACTTGGCTTCGTTTAAATTAAAGATGAGATAAGACAATTTTCTGCGCGTAATATATATTAAATAAGGGCTTTGGTTCTGTTATTTGGGTTAGCACTGGTATAATGATTTTGGGTAGATAGTGGGTTTTAGGGCCGAAATGGAAAGGATTTTTATTCTTATTTTTATAGGTGACAGTAAGTCATATAATCGTTGTTATAGGGGATGATTAATAAATTACTTTTTTTTTCTTTGAGCAATCCTGAGTTTCTGTGTCCAGCTTGTATTTTTTGTTTTTTAAATAAAAACGCCCTTCAATTTATAATTCCTTCGTTATAGCAATAAAGAAAAGATTTTATAAATAAGACAAATAATTATAATTGAAATAAAAACGTAACTTTAATTAATAATATGAAAATTTTGATTACCTTTGTGCTTTTATGTAATACTGATTTTGTCATCCTGTATCGCGTACTTTTCTTTCAATTTTAGTGTCAGTAAACACAGGATTTGTAAGTTAACTTAAATTATTACAGGTGTATTCAATTGGCTTTTCCACTTTCTTCTGTAACTATACATAAGTCATTGTTTTGTTTTGTTTTATAAACAGATAAAACAGCCTTAGGGTTCATGTAATTTAAAGTATAAATGCTACGTTATATACTTTCTAGTTCTTCAAGTGACTATAGCGAATACTGCTTCGTGAAAAAAAAAAGTACAATCAATATACAAACTTAAGAAAGTTCATGTTTGTGCATGTTTCTTATTGTTAAATTTTAGGGCACACTTTCTTTGTGATTATTAAATAAAATCATGTTTTTATACTTGCATATATATATAAGAGTCTGGTACTTTTATATCATTATTTGCTTCGAAGGAAAAACTTATTTAAACTTGAACGGAACATTCTATAAACTAAGAAGCATGTGACTCGCGTTTTTTAATTAAGTTATATGTGTAAATTAATCTATTTTTAAGACAATTCCCTCATAGAAGGTTTAATATATATATATAATATATCATGAAGAAATCCTCCACTGTTATGCTTTCAAGCTTTGAAAGAGCAAGAGATGACCAGAAATTGCTAGGCACAATGGAAGATTCGCAACAACATGGGTTTTCACTGTAGGGAAGGCCAGTGCTTCACGCATAAGGCTTAGCAACGTTAGTGACTTGGATTGTTTTATTTCAAGCAGTATTTACTTCCAAATATGGCAGCCCTAACTGCTACATCCAGTAGCCATACCTTTCTCTGTGCGATTGAAACAAAGATATGGTGTGGTTTGTAAGCTTTTGAACCAAGACAAATCTTCGGTGGCGAACTATTCATAATGAGCAGCTGCTTTGGATTAGAGTAAAATCCTCTGTATGGTTAGCTCTGAGAGCTGGGACATCCTTTAGTTTGCAGTGGCACACCGAAGATGCATTGTGTTGACGAAAGGAGTTGTCGAATACTATGAAACTGTCTTTGCAATGCCGAGAAGTAGAAGAGACATAAACCTGAATTAAGTTACCTCAGATATGTTGAGTATGAGCCAAATATTAATGACATGCATTGTAGAGTCAAACGTTTATTCAATGACATCCTAGAGTGTTTTATGGAAGGGATATATGAGTACAATACGAGACTGTGGAGCTCTGGACAAGACAGGAACCGATACAATGTGTTATAAGAAGATACACGTAGAAGGGAAAGTATCAACAGAGGACATTATGTGATGTAGATATAATCTGGCTTTTACAATACTAGAAAGCGTAAATGAGAGAGATGTCCGCGGATTTGTAATTCCATGGGGCTTTCTTATTAATCACAAAGAACATCAAGATACCAAGAAGAACTACCTCCCATAAAAAATATATGTTGTTTAGTAATAAACGAGACAGTATGAAGGTATCTCTCAGTAAAAGTGCATATTTTTCGTGGCAAAGACAATTTTATATTACTTAGGTGTAGGTGCTGTAAGAGACATTTGGTTAGGAAATGCATAACAAAGTGAACTGCAGAAGGTGGTTATGGCATCTCAGGGAATTAATTCATTGGTGGATGCATCCCCTATATTTGACCATCTTGGTGCTTTAGGTAATGATGACTATTATAGCCTTAATATAGAGCAGTTAAAGAAGTTGCCTTGTGCTTGACAAGTATACGCACTTCCCACAATCACATATCCTGAAATTACCTAGAAGAGCTAAAAAAAAACGGCAGGTTGGTGAAAATACTATAAACCAAGTTCTAGACTGGTGATGCCACTTCACTTGCACAAGTAACCAAGTGTGACAGAAAGGCCCTTATGAATAACTTTGTGCCACAGTATCTTGGTTTTTAACACATTTTGAAATATAATTTTATTTTGAACCCTAAGAAGTCACTTACCCAAAAGTTATTTGCAGATGGTCACGATATAGGTGTTCTTGTTCTAGATGGTACACATGTTTATACTGAGAGAAGCAGTAATTGGAATTTTGAAAGTAAAAGTTTAGTGGCCACGAACAAAATTGTTTGATGAAACTGATTATGTTGTAGGTACAAATTGATACACCCATAGCATCTTAATAAAGGAGTCCTTACTGTAGGTTAGAACAATGATGTCTTCATTCTATAATGTGTGGCATTATCAAACGTAACAGATCTTAAAGAATAACTTCAAAATTATAATTTATGTTTCCTTGATTAAGGATTCTGTGATTGCATGGAATTGTTATAGGATATTGGTTAACAAACTGAAATGAGAGATTATTTAAAGATGGTCAAAAACACATCCAACAAAGAAAGCAAACTATACCAGAATGGTGTCCATGTTCAGATAGATTGTTAAGCCTGTTAAGGGGAGAATTAAAAACTTAAAAGACCTGGATAAAATCCACAAGTTCACTAGTTGTGAGATTGTGTAAGAATTATTTACACATTATACAATACATTATGACCAACTTTGAATTTTGTAAAGAAGAAATAAAATTCTGCTAAGAATTCACGAATTAAGTGAGTTGTAGAAAACATTTAAGCAAGATGAACTTTCAGCATATTGTGTGATTGTATAAGACATTTGCTCTCTTTCCTTACTTTCCCATACTTTTATTCGTGATTTAGCTATTAAAATCAGTTTAAACAGACAGTCATACACTCAGATACAAACACGTAAGTCTTTTTACACCACAACCATGACAGTAATCTGCTATGAATAATTCTCCAGTTACAGTGTGTCATCAAAGATCTGTTCTCTATGAGCCTAGTGTAACACGGAATCAGTTAATCACAAGAAATAGGGTTGATTACCTTAAATTGCATCGATTTTGAAAATGAATCACGAAGGACCTTCATATGGAAAAGTGACTCAAGTCAAGTGTACATAAACTGCTTACACGACATAGTTCTTTAACATTGCATACCTCAAGCACCTGAAGAAAAAAACAACAGGTATTCATTATATTCTATATGAAGACACACCAAATCAAGTTGGCAGATTTTTATGCAACCAGACTGTTGAAATTGACACTGGGAAAACGTTGTCATTGTGCATCAGATGGTTTATGAAAATCATACAGGGAAGAAGAGGTGTGCTTTGAACAAGATAGCTCATGACAAAGCCTTTTATATTGGAACTATGCTACGAGGCAATTGCCAAGATCCATCGTCGTCAGATAGAGCATGACCAGACGTGGTGATATGGAGTGTAATGATATAGTGAGGCTCCAAAATCGTCCTAATATAACATACTCGAACACTATACGTGGCTGGTAATTCCAATGTTTCCCAGGACAACGAATGGTTGCTGTGTTCATTGCTTATTTTCTGGTACCTAGGCTTCCACTGTCACAAAGATATATTTCTATACCTCACAAAATCACAATAACAGGTTATACTTACTGAGGCTTACCAAGACAGATTTCCACAAACGATAGGGTTTCACATGATGCATATGTGCCAGTACTGTAGATGCATTCAAATTTTGTACAGACTATATGAAGTCTAAGTTTGCTTCAAAGAATATATACAAACACAGGTAAAAACGCATACTGTTGTTTTGTATGCTGATTCAGTCATATGAGTTCTTATAACGAAATATGATAACATAAATTTCCCTATCTATCACCATCATTTAATACAAGTATTATCGAATTTGTTAATAAATATACATAAGTTTAATAATTTTTTGAACGTAAGATGTATAATCTGCTTCTATTATGCTTATCAATAATGATAAAAATGTGGTTTCTTTCTCCTTATCTTTCTGTATAATGTTTTACTTTGTTCCGTGACATTTTTTTGATATTTTAATCAATGCACGTGCATGTACTGATAAACATCCATGAATATTCAGATGTTGCTAATATACTTCAGAATTGAGCTCCACGCAATATTGCGTGGCAAGACTTCAGCATCTGTATCATGTTGATCTTTAAATTAACGTATAATATAAAAACTTTGTTCCAAATATATATATATATATACAGGACTACATTAATAATAAGAAAAATATATAAAATTTGTTGAGTTTATTTCATAACACTCTATGTGAATCATTTTAAGGGATAGCTTAGATTTTTTCATAAACAAAGAAAACTAAATATGCTTGAAACTATGATCAAAAATTTTCTACTTTAATACATTTTCGTACCCTGATAAGCTCACTGGAACCATGAAGATAACACTTACATATTACTAAAATAAAATGAGTGCATATAAATAAATGTTTCATATAACCTAAAACAGGTGTAGCTAAAGCATCGAAAAATCATCAACCAAGTTTTATTGTCCTTTATTTATTCAATCTCTTCTAAGTGATCATTCTCTTACTTTAAGAGAGATTCCTTGCACCTAGTAACAAGTTCCACTTATACGTATCTCCTCAATAGTTTTTCTTCTAGCTATATGTTGACTGCAGAGGTTAGTATTTTAGTCGACAATCATACTGTGATTCCTTTTTCCCAAATCTTCTATTAAGTTTGAAGAACTTCCCTACGATTTTCCTGCTGAGCAGTCATTTAGGCCCGCTAACTGGAGATTCGTAATATACTGGATTATACAGTGTGACTGAGTATTTCTCCCATTTACAGCCAGGATCAATTGGAAAAAAAGTCGAAACCGAAAAGTACACACAAATATAACAAACAAATACAATTCCAAAAAAAAAAATATGGCAAGTGTGTTTGTGGTGGGTGTTTTGAACTGATAAGAATAGTGGTAAACCTTTATTCAAAGCTCTTACCAACTTAGTGTATCCTGTTTATATGTTAAATAAACTCTATAGTTAAAGATAAAAGTGAACGCCCAAATATAAGTAAAATATAAAAGCCAAAATTTATGAGATTGCAACAAAACTACGTCTGCTTTAAGCAAACATTATATTAAAAATAAACCACATCCAAGTTTACTGGAAGCTAACATTTCGTTGTTATTACTCTTTACATTCCAAGTAAAATTAATGGTTAAATTGATAATGAAACAGAATTCAAAGTTATGCAAAACAAAGGTTTTCACTGGTTATACAAGTTCCTAGACTGACACAAAGGTTAATTTGTCTCGGAACAACAAGTTAAAGTTAACCAAAAAAGTTTAAGCTACTCTTACAGGAACAAACCTGGGTTTATATACGAAGAAATAACAGCACTAATAAAGCTAGATTTGCACGCAGACGCACCTCAAACATGCGATATTTGTCCATCGTAAATCCAGTTCTAGGGAATGCCATCCCCTAAACATTATCTGATTCCCGACAGAGAAGATAGCTTTCTATTTCTGGATATCGTGTACTATCTTTCCTGTACAAAATCGATTAAC